TTATTTCTAATTATCTTCAACATACTTCTCGCTATGTGTATATGTATACTTTATTCTATTTTCTCTTCTCCTAATCTTTACGCATAATCACTTAAATATCTTAGGGAACATATGTATATCATTATTTGTTTTTTATATATTTTTTTGTTTTAGTTTTTACAATTTCTTTCCCTACATATTAACAGTTATTATTATTTTTTAAATTTTTATATTCCATCACTACAATGCTTTACCTATAAAATAGATTTTCCTTTCCTTTCTAATTTCATTCAGTGATTATTATGCAATTATTTTAGCTCCAATATTGTAGTACTGAACCCCTATTACCCAACTGTCCTCGTTAATTTATCCTAAGAGCTTAATTAATACTTAATGTATTACATGTATTTTGATATTATTCATTGTAATAAGTCTTTTGACCAGATTTATAGTTAATATATATGAACAATACTGTTATTCTAAAGGGACCTAGTCCCAGAATAAAGATGATTTTTCTATTTCTATTTCTATAATGTCAAAAGTCTACAATAAGCCATTGCTAAGCTTTGCCCTGACAAAATTTCGTTGCAATGCGGACATACAGAAAGACAAAAATTTTTTAAAAAGTGGATTTGGTGTCTGCAATGTATGAAACGGAAAGATATCATAAAACGAGTTGATTCTATTCAATGTTCAAACAAAATCTTTATTTTATTTATATAGATATGGATTAAAATATCTCAAAAACTAAAAATCTGACCTGCATACTGTCCTGAAGGTCAACTACCAACTAATTTATTTATTGAAAAATATTACAATCTGTCTCAAAGGACATTTATAATAGTGTTCAGAGATCACATTCACACTCTATGTACAATAAAGTATACAGACAACTAATATATATACATTAAATAAGAATAAAATAACCTAAAAATAAATAAATAAAAATAACACATACATGGATAGATAATGGATATTTTATGCGAAGAGTCAAGAGTTATCAGATCATTGTATTCAAAATGACCATCCCTTCCCCTCCCCTCCCATTTATGGCGTTAGAACCTACCACTCCCCTCTTCTCCCAAGATATTTTATTTCTCACTTTTCTTAAAAACAGAGCAAGCCGAGGTAAAATTAGAAAAATCGTAGATCATATACTAATACACTTGATGTGGTCAGTTCCATGTCTTACTCTTGTCCATTAGTCCGAAAACACATAGCCCCGTCGAAATTTTGCCCCCACCCCTCTCGGCATTCACAATATTGTCAATAAAGATTTAGTCATTCCATGACTTGACCTCCCAAAACCGAACACTTCCTCCTCAATGTTTTACAGAAGTCCAGGCTTTACTCGAGTTTGAAACTCAGTGGCAAGTTTCTACCCAACGAACTTGTGGCCATTAGAATGGAATATGTTAAACTTACTTTCATCTGAAAATATAATATTTTTCTAGAATTCTAGGTCTTTATTAAATTAACTTTTGGCAAACTCAAGTTTCACCTCTGTAATAAAATATTTTTTCTTTGGAATCTGTCATAATAATAATAATATTTACGAATTATATTTCTAACAGAAGGTGGTAATTGAAGTAAATGCGACCTCTTCTTGTACCTGGGTGGCTGATAAAGTGTCATTTCGCTCAACAATTCGATGGATATTCCTTTGTGCCATCTCATTAAATTTTGATGGCCGCTCTGATGGGGGCATGTTTAAAACTTTCTAAACTTTTGTACAATATTTTGAACACTGCTAAACCCAATTTCTAATTTATTCTCTATTTGCCGGTAGCTAAGTCCATTATAATGTAATTTAATGATGTGTTTCTTTAAAGTGACACAATATTTACTGTGGTTTTACCCATTTTGTTATGGAATGAAAATATATTACAGCAAAGACTGATATTTATTATTTTCATTGTACTAACGCCAATCCTCGTTTCTAATTTATTGAAAGAAAAACTGTTAATTTGTTTTGACTGTAACTAATAGTAAACAGTTAAAACTGTGCCAATACTTTTTTGACCCTAAAATTTACTCTTTATGTTTACTTTCAACTTATCCTTTGAATTCATTTCTTCTAAAATATAATTCTCTAAGACCACATTGTTATATAAATATTTTTTCTGGAAAAAAACCTGATCCTATGAGTCTGCCAATACTTTTTTGATGAACTGTAGCTTCCAATCCTTATTTTCCCCATTTAGTTAGCAATCAGTTTTCTTCATTAATTAATTTTTAGATTTAACCATTTTTTACATTAGTTTCCAATTTGAAATGGTAGGTTATTTCAAATTAAAAAAAAAAATTAAAGGTCCTTTGAAAAAGAAATTTTGAAAATTAGGCATTTAACCCTGTTAGAGAACATCATTGATAATAAGGCCTATATAATGTCAAACATCGCTTAATTTTACACTGATATAATGAATTTAATCAAAATCGTGTGAGCCGTTTTTGAGAAAATTGTAAACATGTGTAAAGTCGAAAATATATAATTTCACTTCTGGTTAGGCGATTTTGGCGAAAAAGTTGTTGTAACCTCCCCCTCCCCACCCAGTCATGTTCAGACCTCAAATATGCAATTTACGTTCCGTACCTCTTTTCGTTTTTGAGCTAGACTGTTCACACAGAGAGTACATTTTGTGGGACTTTGTTATTTGAACTCGGAGGACCTCAAAACATGTATTTCCATCGAAAACTCAGTTTCAAAAATTTTCACGATCACAATACTTTGTCTTACTATATATCGGTAAGGGAGAGTAAAAAGTAAATTATCCGTTACCAATTTTATGGCAAATGAAAAATTTTATCATATTTTTATTTTTAACGAAAGAAACAAAAAATGTTATAATTGACTTAAATAATTAGGATTTAATAAAATTTGGCTAAAATCTTAGATAATACATAATTTTCAAGTAATTTAGAAAATATTATTTCCCATAAACATATAAATATTTGGGAAAGTTCTTAAATTAATGTAATTAATGAATTAATGTAATTCAAAGCTTCATTTATTCCTCAATTGAATCGTCGATGGCTCAGCGGTTCCATAGTTATTTGGAACCACTTCATGAAACTTCAGTGTTGTTATATTTCAATTTACTTCAAATATCTATATGTTTATTTTCTGTCTATATGGACAAGTTCGTAAACTCTCGCGCTTAACTCATAGACATCATTTAGGAAGCTCATCGCTGAATTTAGGAACTTGCCCCTATATCTGCTTTGAAATACATTTCATTAGGTGAGTAATTCGTAAAACGTTTACAAATTTTTTATGTGTTTACTAACTTGTCAGGAGTGTTAACCTTCCGCTGGAACCCATCAGGTTGTTCCTAAACTGAGCATAAATCGCTGGCCATTGCTACTATATTTAAATAATTAATGGAATCCGTCGATAAATTTAGAGTTATGTTTAGGAACGTACTCTTTTTGTTATCAAGTAATTTAATGTTCCTACTCAGTTTTATCATGTTTAAGCTCTACAAATACTTTTGTTTTACTATTGCTAATAAATGGTTTAAGATCTTTTTTAAATCGAAAAAATGATTTTTACTATCTATTTCTCGGTAAATTAGGATCTTCAAATATCGGGTCATAGTCATCAAATTAGTCTAGTCTAATGGTAGTTGGATGTGAAAAAAATCAAAAATAGGCGGTTTTTCTCCAGTGTTTTTTTTTTTTTTTGGAAGGGGGAGGATGCTGAATCTAAATTTGAAGTTCCCAAAGGAAAGTAATTTTAACTTTGTATAGAATAATGATTTCGAGAATCATGATAAAAAGAAGTGCTAATATTTCGCTGTTTTTTGCATATATCTCGGAACGCAATGAAAAATTTCGTTTGTGAACTTCAAATCCAAATATATCTTATCTTTTCAAGAAACATAAAAAACCTAAGAGGAACCGACTATTTGAATTTTTTCTACATCCAACTACCATTCGGCAGGAATAATTTGAAGTACTGGCGGATCCAGGATTTAATTTTTTTTTGGGGGGGGACTTCAGCCCGAAAGCTTTTTTTTTTCATAAAAATAACGATAATTACTTCGGATAAAAAGAAAGAAACTAACTACCTATATGAAATGGTGTTTAAGTGATTCCTAAAGCCCTTTTAAATGTAATTACACGAACAATAATACTTGTAGAGATAACTTTTAATATTTTTTTAAATAAAACATGGTTATATTTTAAAAAATCCCATTTTGGGGGGATAGGGGTTTCAGCCCGAAAGCCCTCTCTCCTCCACTCCCCCCCCCCCCGTAGATCCGCCTGTGATTTGAAGACGCCGCCAGTTTTCAAAACACAACCTTGTACATTGTCAGTCAATGTCAAGATGAATTCGTTTTTAGGGATATATTTCGTCGACGTCCGGCTCCCGGTTGTATCAGCAAATTAAGGATCTTCAGAAGAGACCTGATGCTGCTCGCAAATTAACTAACTCGTACAACAGTAAAGATAGGATATTGCGGAGCTCAATATATATGAAATGATAAAGGAGGGGTTGGTTATTATTTAACTATATAATTATTATTCCCGTGGGGAAGTTACTTTTGGTTAAAAGTAATAATGCAGCAAGCATGTGCTAACTATAAACTTTTGGAACAAATGGGGACCCTTCCAGAGAGGATGTCAGTAGGCCTGGTCAGTCGGCAGGACGTAATTTATTACTAACCGATGTGGTGTGGTCAGTCGTCTCAAGTTGAAGACTTCCAACTTTGTAATAATACGTAACAAATAAAATGAATATATGTCACTAATGAAGTTTTTTTGCCAACCTCACTGTAATTTTATCTCATAAATATACCTCTGATTTTTTACAAGCATCACATAAAATATTTAGGTACGGAGTCCGAGTAGAACCCACTAAGGTTAAGGGTTAGAAATGTAAATTACATAATTTATATTTTGTGTTAACTATAGTTGGTGGAATATCTTTCTTAACTAAATATTATCGTATCAAAATTACTTTTAGTTGAGTAATTATGAAGACGTACTTTAATGTAAACCATTAATTTTCTGTTAAGGGACCTACAGAAGCCGAAAGGAAGATTGAAGAACTGACACGTCAGTTGGAAGAACAGATGGAGAAACAAGAAGAAGAAGGCGAATATTTCGGTAAGCTTCAACTTCTATTTTTGAATTAATCGCGATTTATAATTATAAATGTATTTCCTTGAAATAGTCTAGATTTATAGAATGTGTTACGGTCTTAGTTGATTTGGAAAAATCGTTTCCGCAACAAACTTGCCGGATACTCAGTGGAGACGGCAGGGTTCGCAAAAAAAAAAAAAAAAATTAAGAATCTAACGATTGCCACGCTATTTCATTTGTTGAATTTGGAAAATAGCGAAAACCAAAAAAATATCTGGTGTGTCCACTCACACGATTTTCCTACCTATTCCTACCTTCTGAAACGATTTTATATCTTTATATACGTTCATGAAGAAATACAAAAGTATTGAACTAAATTTATTTTCCTGAAAAATTGAACAAAAGATTTGAGTACGATTTATTTGATAAACTAAAGCAATGAAACCGGCTTAAGGTAGATCAGTGTAAAAATTTCAATACTCACTAATATTGCTAATCAAAAACTATTTGCCATAGTTTAGTATTGTCAAACAATAATTTCTGTTAAAAGTAGAGGAAATAGTGAAGATTGTGTGATGCGGGCAACAGTAAACTCGTAATCTTTCATTAGAAATTGAATAGCCGTAACTTCGTTAATATTTGTCCAAAACTCAGGGGGCTGTGAAACGTATAGATCCTTCGAAAACCACATGTCGAAAATTTTACCCGATTGCAATACTTTCCTTTCCTAGTATTGGTAGGAAAGTGATAAGTTAAAAAAATGTGTAAAAAATAGAATAAGCTGTATCATCGCTAATACTGGTTCGATTCCGATATTTTTTTTGTTTTGTTGGTAATTTAATTACCTTTCAAAAGTTTTATTATAAATTTTATCGTATAATATATACTTAGGGAGCATAACATTTTTCTTTTCTTTATAACTTTTTTTTCTGTATTTTTTCGGGAGTTTAGTCTATATACGAAAATTGGAAGGACAATGATTAGAACATCATAGACAAGTTTCATCAAAATCGTTGGAGCCGTTTTCGCGCTACAGTCTATAGAAAAACGTGTTTTCCATTTATTGCGCGCAAGCTATTGCGCATGGAGCAACGAATTTCTGTCACAGGCATCAGTAGTCAAAACCATACAAAATAAAAAAAGAAGCAACAAAATCGGTTCAGTAGTTCCCGCGAAAATCTTGGCACAGACAGACAGACGGACCAATGGCTAAAAATGTGTTTTTCGGACTCAGGGGGCTGTGAAACGTATAGATCCGTCGAAAATCACATGTCGGAAATTCGACCCGATTAAATTAATTTTAAAAAAGTATTAGGACGCGGAGTGAGCCACGAACTCGGAACCTTTGGGTTTAAAAACATATGTTAATTAACCTCATAACCTATCGAACCTTCTTACTTGGTTAATAATGACTTTCCATAATCCCTTGAATAGGGTTTTACAGTTCCTTGTTAAACCTAAAAAAAAAAACAATATAATATATACATAAAACGTGAAAACAAACTAAAGAAAAAGAAGAAAATAAAACTGGCTATTATGAATACTAATGATGAATTTACTTATTTCTATTGATTTAAATAACTGTTAAAGGAAATTAAAATTATGAACAAGAAATTAGATTTATAAGAAAACACAATTAACTTTAATTATCAAAGAAAAGATTACAAAATTATTATAGAACTAAACATTAACTTACGACTATACAATAAACCAATTACCAATATTTGGGGAAAAAATAGATAGGAAAAAAAACTTATATATACATATTTACAATATCCCACTGGTTGAACTTTGTCCAATTGGCACATTGGGTTATCTGAAGAAGCGGGAACTTATTCGAACTAGCGTCGTCAGGGTCTCCCCAATTTATCTCCTCAAGCTGTGAAAATGTTCATTCACCAACTAGTAAGATCAAGCGGCACTCGTCGCTGATAATCACAGGTTCATGGACAGGGAAAGAAAATCCGGTGTACACCGTAAAACTAAAGTATTTCACATACACAAATCCTTAAGGTGCCTCTACACTCGCGAGGTTCCGCCATCTCTCTCTAAACTGTCTTTTGTTTTTCCTTCCAATCAGCTGTTGGTTATTGAAATCCGACATAAAATGAATACTTAAAACTAAGACTTATTATAAACTAATACTTATTATTAAAACTAATACTAAATACTTAATTTTATATTTAACCCTCTTTGAGTTAATAATAAAACTAACAACTATTTTACGAACTAATTTTATTTTTGTATTTTATTTTTCGTCAAAAAGGTATAGAAATGGTCTTTTATTTACGGCAAATATTGGAGGAAAAAAAAATAGTGTACAACGGTGCTGTACACCAGCTTTATATCTATTTCAAAAAGGCTTATGATTCTATTGACAGAAACTGCAAAATATTCTAATTGAACAGGATATCCTCAATCAATCAAAGAACTCTTGGACCGCAATTTCAACTTCCGTAAAATTATCAAATTTTTTTCCTGGAAGAAAATGGGCCATGGATCTAAATAAGTAATAATCATATTGTGCGAGGTCTGGGCTATATGGTGGATGAGGCAGGAGTCTCATATCCGAAGCGTTTTTCAATAAATTGTCACAAATTTCTAACCCCATAGCTGATAGCCGAGGAGTAAGTTCGTGAGGGACCAGTCCACTGTCCCCCACCTACTGCTTTCCAGCTTCCCAATGAGGAGTAGATGGCGACTAACAGAATCTTTCGACACACCACACTCCCTGGCAGGTTCGCAAGTACTCGTGGAGTGATTTGACTCAACAGCTTTCTGCAGAATCTCATCAATATCCATTAACTTCTTCCTTTACAACGTCGTATCTCTACTGGTAAATTTTTCAAACCAACGCCGCGCAGTGTGCTGTTCAAGGACACCTTCCCCTTCATATTTAATAATTTCACTAGTTGCTTTAGCGGCTGTGAATTTTTTTTTCCGGGAATGTCTTAAAAATTATGAGAATTTCGTATGTCACTCATGTTTCTTCTTTGAAAATCATAAAACATAGCTTTTTTTGAAGAAGTCGAATGGGCTTAAACAAGCTTAGAGAATGCTCTAAAGGGATTAAGTGTTCGCTAGTATTGAATAGGATTAAAATATTTATAGTCCTTTGAAATCTTGAATTTGATGAAACGGTCATTACTTTATGTATATACCCTATTAGTTAGGATGTCTATGTCCGAAACATTCAATAAAGTTAAAATCGGTAATTATTTATCCTGGAAATTCGAGGTTCGTTTGGGCTTGAAACAAGGTAATTCCCTTTCACCTTCCTACTTAATTAGGCATTAGAACATACCATTAGAGTGTTGTGTTTTTTTTACATACCGTAAAAGCTTTAAATGTGGGTGGAATAATATCCTTGCTTGGGTTTGCTGATGATCTGGTACTGTTAAGGAAGATATGGAAACGATAAAACTAAATAAAACGTTGATGAACGCCGGTAAACATCTGGGGCTCGAAATAAATATGGATAAGACAAAGTATATGGTTGGCAGCGAAAATTGTGACAATTTCATTGTTGTAGATGTTGTAGTGCTATAGGGGAAGTTAAGACTAGACAGGAGTGCCCATCACCCTCAAAGTCGATGGCGCAAGAACCTGTCCCACCAAGATATTTTATTGCTTACCTTTTCTTAAAAACAGAGCAAGCGAAGGTAGAATTAGAAAAATCGTAGATTATATACAATTATACTTGCTGCGGCCTGTTCCATATTTTCCACTTGTTCCTTAGTATGAAAATTTTTATTGCTAAAATTCAAAAATAAAAATAACCCATCGAAATGTGCCCCTCTCCCCTGAAAAGTTCAAAAATCCTCCAAAATATGTTCTCCTCAAAAACTTCAATGGCGTAAGTTGCGCTATTAAACTCCCTTCTGAATGCCCCTGAAGCTATGTAATGCTTACTATTTGTCATTTGCGATACTACTTGACTCGCGGTTGTTGTCTCGAAACTTAAAAATTAGAATTTACAAAACCATTTTCCTTCCTACGGTTCTTTATGGATCCGAAACGTGACCGCTTACATTAAGGGTTGAACGAAGTCTTAAAGTTTTTGAAAATAAAGTATTGCGCAGAATATTCGGACTGAAGAAGGACGAGTCAACCGAAGAATTAGGCACAACGCAAACTGTACCCCGTTAATATAATTGAGATGATAAGTTGAGGCGAATAAAATGGGCATGTAAAATCACTGGACCTAGTAATGAAAGGATTTCTAAACAGTTAATAGCGCCGTGCCGACTGGGAAGCGTCCGAGGACGAAACGAAGGCGGGAAGATTGCATTAAGTATGATCTGGCGGGGTTGGGTTTAGACTTATGAGTTATTTAGATACAAATTTCTTTTCCTTCATAACTTTTTTCCTGGAATTTCGGGGGTTGTCTCTATGATTCATCTTTTATTTCATACCTCATTCATCAAAATCCATCGCTTCTGAGAGCCGGGAAAGAGATCTACACTGCGAAATACTGCCTTACTCTGTATAAAGATTATTCATTAATATATATATATTTATCCTAGTGCTCCATTATATATCTGTTCTAATTTAAAAATGGTGTGCTACCCAGGTATGTGAATAGCTCCCAAGCTTCATATAGAAGGCCCTGTTGATTTTGATGAACCAGCCTTAAATGTTTGACCCTCTGGAAGATGTATAAGTAAAGTACTTAAATCTGGAGTATGCCTAGAGGCTACCAGTTACTCCGGAGTTCAAGAGTAGGTCCTTTGATGGGGTGGTTCGCGTTTCTGAAGAAATGGGGTCAACCGATCCCTGGGGCAGTCCGGACCGCGCATACTCTCCGTGCTTCTTTATATCTAAATAATTTTAAAATTTATTTATTTATAAACGCATTTTAATAAATAATAATAATAAACAAAAATTATATCAGTAGTTGATAAGGGTTTTCTGGGCGTAATCATTATATAACCATTGGTTGATAATAATATACTCCATTTCCTTCCTTTTCGGCATCTCTATTGCTTTGAATTGTTATTTAAGTTATGCATTTAGCCCTCGGT